ATCAGGAATATAAAAGTAAAAGGAAGAAATATAAATATGGTTTATTCGATCAAAGTTAAATAGGTATGTTCTTATCTTTGATCATCCTTAATGTTGTTTTGCTGACCAGGATTGAACAGCAAGGTTTTAAAAATTTGTTTGTACACAAGTGATGAGATATGGGAAGAAGAGACCATTTGTTGTATTTTAAGAGAAAATGACATCAATAAAATTGTTAATACTTATTGTGATGAATGATATAATCATTTCTTTATATATTTTTCCTTTTCTTTACTATATTCTTATTTTTCTCATCTATTTTTCTTGCTGTTTTTCTTTCTGCATTTTCTATTTTTCTTTTTATTCTTGTTTTTTGTTTGTATTAGTTATCTTTCTAAGTGTAATGTTTAATAAAATTATTATTTAAGAGCAATAGAAAGAAACCAGAGTGCAAGTAGAAAAACTGCAGGAAGAGAAAGTGCATCTGTATATTATTACAAAACAGATTAATCTACTAATAGAAGAGAATATATCAGGGCACTGATAGATCAAGTTGGATAATGAAACATCTGCAAGCAAGCAACCACACTCAGATTACATGAAGGACTCCATAGATTAATCTCCCAACAAAAGAAAAATAAATTGGACTTGAATGAAGCCTGGAAAGAGGTTGGAGTCACAATACAATTCAGAATACTACGGAAGCATGTGGACTTAAATAAAGGGAAATGTGAAATAGGTTGATATTAGAAGTGTATTGTTGGGAATAGGAATGTGCAGATGTCTTTGTATAAGGGTAGTGCTGAGTTGTAGGCTGAAAACTGAGTGTATAGTTTGCAATGAATTGAACAAAGATTGTATGATGCAATGACAAGTATATGTCTAATAATTAACAGGTAAGTGGGGTGGGCAATTAATTTTCCCAAGGGGCCACATGTGAAACTAGGTCTGTTGTGCAAGGCCAAACCAATAGGACTGCCATCACTGCCACTTTCTCTGGGGCCAAATCTCTTAGCTGCCCCCACCCCCACTGCCACCCCTGCTCCTACTGCCATGGGCCGGACAAGGATAGGCAAAGAGCTGGATGTGGCCTTTGGGCCATAGAATGCCCAAGTCTGATGTAGACCAAGATTATCGTATTTAACAAGGAAAATTGAATGAAAGTTTGTAAATTGTATATTACATCAAAATACTAGAACAAGTAGGCTAATTCATGTACTCTGATAAAACAAGGAGATTACTTTGTGTACTTTAATACTGTGTTTACAAAAATGAGTGATCAGATCTAGAAAAATATGTTGAAGTATTTGGATTATAAGGACATATAGAATTAAAGACTTAATTGCTAAACAAATATATGGAATTGCTAAACAAATATATGGAATTGCTAAACAAATATATAGTATGAAGATAAAGTGAGTGGATTAAGACAAAGACCAAGCAAACTATAGTTCCATGGGGTTTTATGAGATCATGAAAAAGAGATACGAGAAATTTTAAAGAACAAAACACAGTGTGTGAATTGTGTATGGATGTGGTAGAAAAAGAATGGTTTATAAGGATAGGAAGGGATAGGGTTATATAATGAATACCTAACAAAGAAATGGATCTCTCCCTCCCTCCCTCCCTCCCTCCCCCTCCCCCTCCCCTGTCCCCTTTTTTGTCGATGTAGAAGGTGGTTAAGATTGATAGGGTTGAACTACCAGTGGGCCACATAGCAGACATACAGACCAACCACAAGTACCTGGCTATCCCACAATCACATGAGAAGGCAAGTACTGCTAAAGGATAAGACAGGCTTTGAAGAGCAACTCAATGGGAAGAACAAGATCCGTACCATCAACATTTATGCCCTGCTTGTAATTAAATACCCTGTCAGTGTAATGAACGAGTAAAGTGAGGTCTCAGAGGCTGTTAATGTGTTAATGTGGTAACCTGGAAACTCCTCACAACTTATTGAGATTTCTATCCCAAGGCCAACACCCAGAGATTGTACAGGGTTATGTGTCCCAGGGTTATGTGATCACCTTTTTTGCAACCTTCTGATGGGCAAAGTCAGTGAGAAAACCAGATTCATTTAACAACTATGTTACTAATTTAACAACTTCAGTGATTCACTTGTAGCGTCATGGGGCCATGTGATCATGTATTGTGATCTTTTGACAAGCAAGTTAATGGGGAAAGCAGATTCACTCAACCATGTTACTAGTTTAACAACTCCACTTAACAGTGGCAACAAAAGTTGTAAAATGGGGCAAAACTCACTTAACAAATTTATCATTTAGCAACATAAATTTTGGGCTGAATTGTGATTGGAAGTTGAGGTCTACAGACACCCACACTCAAACCCACACATTTTGTGTGTGTGTGTATGTATGTGCATACACACCATGTTTTCCCCAAAATAAGCTCTACCTGAAAATAAAGCATGCACCTAATATAAACCGTACCCAAAATAAGCCCTAGTGAAGATTGTCATCAGCCCTGGGGAGGGGTGACCAGAACCAGAGGCAGTAGGGGCGTGGGGGCCAACAGTGTCTGGCAGCAGCCGCAGCCTGTGCAGCACAGATGCATTGATTACCTATCCAAGCAGCAGGCAGAGACAGAGGTGAGGGGGAGGCAGGTGATCCGGACATGCCACGCGGACTGAGGAAAATCTGAGTCAGTTGCCCAGAGGAGGTAACCAGCTATAGGAGGCTCATCTTTGTGCTTCCCTTTAAACACCCATAGCAAGTTTCTTTATTCCATACAATGAGAAGGGATTTTCCCTCAGAGATCAGCATCCCTATGGTTTGTTGCCATTCTTGAGGACTAATTAATCTGGCTAAATTCTGATTTTTGAATTCTGATGTACTGTGTAGGAGAATTTTTAGAAGTTATTTTGGACTGGAGACGATTACACCTTTCTACTGAAGCACAGATTTAATTGATTTATTATGGTACTGGGGGCGAAAGATAAGCCTAAAGTGAGTGGAGATGCAACTTGTCTACATAAACTTACACAAATAAGGCATTGAGGCAATCACCTGAATTACAATGGCCTTTTGATTTAAACAAATAGGATTAAGATTGCCTGAGATATTACGTTTCTTTGGGTGTGCTTATTTACTTGCTTACTTGTTTACTTGGGTGTACATATGTACTTGCTGGTCTTTTGCAATCGGAATCAGTATTTTTTCATTAAGCACCATGAGCAACTATTGAATTGGGTCTGTGACAGCATTTTTTAAGAAGTGAAACTTTTACTTATTCCTAATTATGTAACATTCATGTGTCCAGCATAAACCACACACCCACACACTACCACCCTCCCCCCAAGAAATGTGAAATTGGAATAAAAAGAAACCATACATTGTCACTATGGAAAGGCTGTTGTTTTTTGCTTTCTTCAGGCCATTAATAGAAAATGTAAAGTAGTAAGGAAATCCAGTAAGTAGGCGCTGTGGTTAATACCATTTAGATAGAAACATCTGGACAGCTTCATTATCAAAACTGAAGAATAGTTGGAAATCCAGTCATCAGTTTTCTTAAATTGATTTAATTTCCAACTGATTTCAGCATTGGAACTGAGTAACTAAAACAATAAGCTAAAACAAGCAGTAGAAAAACTCATTGTTCCTGAAGTCCTTTGTTCTTCTATTTTCTTTGTTTTGTTTTGTTTGTTCTGTTTTCCATCATAGTCTGGACACATTTAATCAGGGTAAATTAATCCTCTTTCTAGTTGTCCTGGTTGCATCATGAACTCATGTAGAATTGATACTATTTATAGTTAATAAGTTCTCCAAAAAGTCCCAATTAACATTTCAGGAAATAAATCTGTAATCAGCTTTGGGGAGACTTTGCTTTTTTACACTTTTACACTTTTTATGTTAGGATTGAACCTAGTTTTTCTCAGCTATAGTAATTAGAAAGGCAAAGAGAGGGTTATTTATTTATAAGATTTTTATCCTGCTTTTATTACTTTAATAGTAAGATATGTTAAGAGAAACTCTGATATTTCCTACTTATTTGCAACTGGCATGGGATTTGTGGTAACAACCACTTGTTGGTCCAGTGCAGTTGAAAAGTAAATTACTTACTCATGACTAGCAGTGGCTTCTATGGTATCAGGGTAAACCTTGGCAATATGGCAGGAGTATTATACTGCAAACCTTGCACCCTTTGGTATGTATCATGTACATGTACATTTAGAAGAACTAGGGCTTGCATTGCAATGTTCCATCTGCCAGTTTACAGGTGATTCTCAAGGTATGAATAGCAATAGAAATAGCAGACTTATATACCACTCCATAGTGCTTTATAGCACTTTCTAAATGGTTTAGAGTCCGCATATTGCCCCCAACAATCTGGGTCCTCATTTTACTGACCTTGGAAGGATGGAAGCCTGAGTCAACCTTGAGCTGGTCAGGGCTGAACTGCTGGCCGTGGGCAGAGTTAGCCTGCAATACTGCATTTTAACCCACTGTGCCACCACAGCTCCTGAATGGCCGTTTAACGACTGTTCGAAGTTATAAACGCCTCCCTAATGTGTACTTATGATAAGAATCCAAAATTGTGACAAGAGGTCTCTGCAGCTGTGTGATCTGGATTCAATCACTCCTGGAGCAGAAGCCATTTTTAGTCCTGTGACTGTCGTTCATCACCATCATTATAACAGGCAATTTCTGATGCCTATATATTTGCTGCATTCTTTTTCTCCTGGTCACAAGGCCAATCAAGACCCAGGGACTTTGCAGCAGGCCTCGTATTTTCCCCCTCCTCATTGCTGCTGGGTGGAAAAGTAAATCACTCACTGCTGCCTTGTTGCTTCTTTTGTTGCTCTCCCCTTCAAGACTGGAGTATTGTTTTGACTTTGTAAATACTTTAAAATTTTCTTTTTCATCATAGTACTGTACTTTACAAACTGCTATGGGGGAGGCATGCAGTTTGATAAGAAAAATCAGTGATAGCGGCCTAGTTAATAATTTAGGAATTTCTGGGAATTATCCTGCAAAGAAAAGGGGATAGTATCTCAATAGATAAACAGAATGATCCCTTTTTTAATTTAAAAGCCAACAAGAATTTCAGGCTGTGGGACAACTGTACTCTTATTTCCAACACTGTTCCTGAATTGATAAGGTTGACAGATAGACCGGAATGAAGGTAAGAAACAAAGCAAATATACCTCATGCCTGTTGTTTTCTCTCCATGCGAATTACTCAGGATTTGCCTACGAGCAAAGAGAGAAAAGAAAAAGAACTAGAACATATCAAGGAAGTCCTCAGTTGGCTATCCCAGCTGGGCCTTCATCAAATCCAGGAAAAGATCCAGCAGAATCATCTCCATGTCAGCTAAAGAAGAGAACAAATGGAGCAAGATTTCATTCCATATATTGCAGGAATATCTGAGAAACTCAGAACTCTCTCTCTCTCTTCCCCCGCCCATCCATTCCTCCCACTCTCCCTCTCCCTCCATCTCCCTCCCTCTATCTCCAAATACATATATTTAGAACAGACATAAAACTCAGTTATTAAACAAATTAAACTTTGCCATTTGATTGATCAATCTTTCCATTATGTCAGTAAAGAGCTAAGCCAATTGAATCACTTTTCTTGAGTGGTTATGTATTGAGGATATAGAGGCACAGGGACAATTGCCCTTGTAAGCCACTGGGAGGTACTATTTAGTAGAAATCCAAAAATGGGGGCTCTGGAAACAGGATTCTCAAATATTGCTAAAGTACAGGTAACTTCAGGACACTTTTCCAACAGGGTTGCAAATGCAGCAGATGCATTTATGCAAGGCTGCCTGATTCTGACTGTAAATATCTGGATGATCTCTAAATAGCGGCACAAATACAGAATATCTTAAAATGTTAACTACCATCATATTTGTGTCTTTGGAGGGAGCCCTCATGTGTTGCCTCTGTCGATGCATACCACCCTGCCTTAGCTGCCTAAAGGCCTGTATCCCTTCTCAGAAGAGAAAATCGGAGGGGAGACAGGCGGCCCTGATGATGATCCAGATTGATCACGAATACCAAGTATACCCAGACACTCAATCAGAGACTGCCCTCTAAAAATAAAAATGAAAGATTGTGGAAAGGGAACTTCACGAAGACAGTAGTGTCACAAAAACAGGAAAAGCCCAAGGGGAACATCAGGTCAGCCATAAAACAAACTTACATAGGAAAAGGAATCAAATAAAAAAGGTATTAAAGAATCCTTGTAGACAAAAGCCTAAGTAATTAAGAAAACTAGATAAATAAGAAAAGGAAACAAAAAGATAATTTAGAAAGCCCTTACAAACACAGGACATACCAAATAAGCAAAACAAACAGACACAAAATATAAATTACAAAAGGGACAGACAGGAGATTGCCACAGAACAAATATGAAAAACTATCTTAAAGCTAAAAGAGATTAGAGAAAACCAATAATACAATCTAGCCACCCCCCGGAGTTTGCCTTCTGCACCCCGTGGAGTTTGCCCTCCGGCGGGAATAAAGACAAACAGGATTTGAAACATTAAGCACAAATACAAACATTCACACAAAATCAACTTACAAAGGGAGAAAAGGGTATAAAAAACCAGGGACAAGCTAGCTAGCCCAGGAACGCAGACTTCTCGCTGTCCCCCGCCTTCCTGAAAAATAAAAAGATCCAGCTTTCAAGCAGTTGTCTGTATCCTTGCGCCAGAGCTCTCCCAGCGGGAAAATCGAATCCTCGAAAGAAAACATTTTGACACCTTTCAACACAAACTTCAAGCAAAAACATTTGTTTTATGGCCTTAGTTCATAAATGGATTTTTTTTCACTATGCAAATGAGGTAGGCTATTTTGTTTGTCATATTCAACTGGTTCCTGCTTTGATTGGAGTTTCATAAGCCTTTTTTTCTTATCTTGAAAAACAGCTGCAGTGGGTTTGGCTGAACACAGCCGCCGTCTAAGCTGCTTATTCCCGAGCTACAGCTTAGTTTGTACCCAAGAGGTAAGAGAGATGCGGACCAAGAAGATGAAAATTTAGGGGAAAAAGAAGTGGAAACAGTAAAAACAGCCTTTTAGCTGGTACTCTAATCAGCCATAATGTGAAGTTAACCGGTTTATGTTTGGAAATGAACATTAGATAAGTTTGCCTCAGTACAGGAATATATTTTGCTTTCTGTAATTCATGAAATCGATTAAAAATTCAATTCAAAAATTCAATCGATTAAAAATTCACACGCATACATACACACACACACATATTAAACTAAAGGTTCCCCTCGCACATATGTGCTAGTCATTTCTGCCTCTAGGGGGTGGTGCTCATCTCTGTTACAAGGCCAAAGAGCCAGCACTGTCCGAAGATGTCTCCATGGTCATGGGGCTGGCATGACTAAATGCTGAAGGCACACGGAACACTGTTACCTTCCCACCAAAGTGGTCCCTATTTTTCTACTTGCATTTTTACATGCTTTCAAATTGCTAGGTTGGCAGAAGCTGGGACAAGTAATGGGAACTCACTCCATTATGCGACGCTAGGGATTCGAACTGCTGAACTGCCGACCTTTCTGTTCGACAAGCTCAGCCTCTTAGCCATGAGGTATGATTTAATGGAGCTGAGTGTAGCTCCCAGCAGACATTTTCTTTTTGCACCCAGAGAGAGAAATATGAGTTATGAGGTGAGAGCTCCACCTCAAGGCCACCATGCCACTCATGTACATGTTATATATTTCTATACACATTTATTCACACATTTATTCATAGAAGTGTGTATATGTATAGATATGTATGTGTGTGTTGGTGTATGTATATGCATACATACCTATATACAATTACATACAATTATACACACACACACAAACACACAAAAAACAGATCAGAAGCATGGGCATCCATTCCTAACTTTGATGATGGCAAAATGGCAATATACGTGCTGTGACATCACAAAGCAAGCTTTGCCCTTTTGTGTTTGTGCAGGTAGAGTACATAGTGCTTAGAATTTGCACAGTGATATTTCCTCACTCCCCACTGTGGGCAAAGATGCCTATGGCAGTATTGGTAGGGAGAATACTTTTAACACCAGAAACTGAAATTACTTAAACAAAATCACAAGTGTCAAAGTGTGGATTCGGCATCTTGGTTCTTCCTGGTTTTCCCCTTGAAAATTTTTTTTGCTGTAGAACTGGAATATCTAATTTTGCTTTAGTAAAATGAGGAAATTCATTTCTTCTGTTTTCAATGTTAACTTTTTCATACAGGAAAAAACGAAGAAATGTTACATTCCTTGTGGTTCAACAACTTGAAAAACAAGTATTACATGTATTTTAAACTAGCTCACTCTGTGGATGTCCTTGAACTTTGATGTTTATTGCCACTGACCATGGGCTCTGCTGCCAGGTGGGAACTACAATTTATTTATTTGTTTGTTTGTTTATTTATTTATTTGATTTGTCAATCGCTTACAAAAGAATAGGTATAAGTATATACATAGTTATGAATACATGAAATGGGTACATATAAGAAAAATAAAAGAAACAATAGGACAGGGATGGTAGGCATGTTGGTGCACTTATGCACGCCCCCTGCAGACCTCTTAGGAAAGGGGTGAGGTCAATAGTAGACAGTCTTAGGTTAAAGTTTTTGGGGTTTGGGGAAGAAACCAAAGAGTCAGGTAGAGTATTCCAGACATTGACCACTCTGTTGCTGAAGTCATATGTCCTGCAATCAAGTTTGGTTAACCTTGAGTTTGTATCTATTGTGTGTTCTTGTGTTGTTATGCTTGAAGCTGAAGTATTCATTGACAGATAGGACATTGCAATGTGTGATTTTTATATACCATACTTAGATCAGACCAAAGATGGCATAATTCAAGGTTTTCTAAGTCTAGAATTTCAAGTCTGGTGGCATAAGGTATTCTACAACGAGTAGAGAACTCTTCTTGTGAAATATTTCTGGACTTTCTCAGCTGTGCTAATATCAGATACATAATGTGGGTTCCAGACTGAGGAGCTGTATTCGAGTATTGGTCTACCAAATGTTTTGCATGCTCTAGTTAGTAGTGTGATATTACCAGAGAAAAAGCTACGTAGGATTAGATTAACAACTCTTAATGCCTTTTTGGCTATGTAGTTACAATAGGCTCTAGCACTTAGATCATTAGAGAGGAGTATTCCAAGGTCCTTTACAGAGCTTCAACAAAGTCTTGACTATTCAGCTGGTATTTTATTTTCTGATTTTTTTTTTGCTAATATATAAGACAGAGCATTTATTTGTTGAGATTTGAAGTTGCCATTTGTTTGACCATTCTGATACATAGTCAAGGACTTTTTGAAGGATAGCAGTATTGTCTGTGGTATTGAACAGCTTTACATCATCAGCAAAGAGAATGCAGTTGCTCTTAATATGATCACAGAGGTCATTTATGTAGAGTATGAAGAGAGTTGGTCCTAGAACACTGCCTTGGGGGACACCACTATTGACAGATACAGAATTTGATAGGACACTCCCATTTGACCATTTGTTGTCTGTTTGACAGGAATGCTTCTATCCAGTTATGCAGTTGTCCAGAGATACCATAAGATTTTAGTTTTAGGAGTAGTATGTTGTGTACCACTGAATCAAAGGCTTTACAGAAGTCTATGTAGATTGCGTCTATTGTTTTGCCCTGATTGAGTTGTGTTGTCCATATATTTTTGCAGTGTAAGAGTTGCAGATTACAGGATAGTTCTTTTCTGAAACCAAATTGTATATTGGAGAGTAGGTTGTTTGTCTCTAAGTGGAGGATAATGGATTGGTTAATAATTGATTCCATGACTTTACAGGTGATGCAGCATAAAGAGATTGGTCTGTAATTTTCAACTAGGCTGGGGTCTCCCTTTTTGAAGATGGGGATGACCGTGGCTTTTGACCATAGGTTAGGCAAGGAGCTGGTCCTGAAAGATTATGCTTAGAGGTCCGGCTATGGCAGTGGATAGCTTTTTTAAGAAGTAGGCACATATTCCGTCCTGTCCAATAGATAGCGACGGTTTAAGATTGCATAGTGCTTTTTCAACATTGTCTTCTGTAAAATCGATATGTATTAGATCATTGTATTTTCTGTGGTTCGGCTAGGAAATATTGGGCATGAACCATTGCTGTTTACAAATACTGAGCCAAATAATGTACTAAAGATGTTGGCTTTAATGGTGTCGTCGTTGCAGTCTTTACCATTAGGTCCTTTCAGGGCGGGATGGACCTTGAGTCTTTTAGTTTGTTGTTTACAAAATTGTAAAAAGCATGGGTTGAATTGGTGCATAGAAGGTTTTCCTCTTGTTTAATGTGATAATTGGTGCATTCAGTCTTTATCTGGTGGCATAAATTTTTGTATCGGCTTTTGAAATTGGCAACGTGACCAGATTTGCTTTTCTGCCAGAGTGATCTCTTTTTGGATTGAAGTTTCCTTATTGTTATGGGTAATCTGTTTTGTTTTGTTTTGAGTGTTGTTGTTGGTACATATAGTTTGATGACTCTTTTGACTTCAAGTAAAAATACGTTGTAATGGTCTTCAACAGTATTGCATCCTTTGAATAGAGATTGCCAGTCAAGGGATGAGAGATCGTTATCTATAAGATCATAGTTGCCTTTTTTGAAGTTATAATTGGGGATTACGTCATTGTGATGATTTTTGTGTGGGCGTATGTTGAGAAAAAAGTCAATCATATTGTGGTCACTGTTGGAAAAGGGTTCTTTAGTTTGTATTCTGTAAATTAAATTCAAACTATTGCAGAAGATGAGATCAAGGCAGTTGCTAAGTGTAGTATTGTTGGTTACTAGTTTTTCCAGTCCCAGATTTGTAAAAGCATTGTAGAAGGTTGCATGTATGGGTTCAGTTGTACATTTGTTTAGGGTCCAGTTAATATGAGGTAGATTGAAGTCACCAAGAAAGATAAAAGCATGTGGGCAGGATGTTGCCCATGTTAGTATTGAATTTAGCTTGTTTACATGTTCGATGTCATAATCAGGTGCTCTGTAACATAGTAAGAGTCGAAATGTGATATTTAAGGATAGTTCACAGATGAAGGTCTCAGGAAGAGCAAGCTCCTGGGTAACTTGGATGTTTTTTAGATGTCAGGACTTTTTATAGAAGATAGCAACACCACCTCCTCTACAAATTTCATGATCTGATCGGTAAACATGATAGTCTCTTACTGTGGTAATGGAGTCAGGGAGAGATGCGTTGAACCATGTTTCACAGACAAATATGATGTCGAATTTAGCCATATTTAGTAAGAGGAGAAATTCAGGTATTTTATTCACAAGGCTTCTTGCATTGAGTAGCTTGCATTTAAGGCCAGCTGTAGTTGGAATTGAAGTAGTTAGGGGCATGCGTGCCTAGTCTTGGGTGATGGTGGATTGGTTGAAGTAGGGCTGTGGTTGAAGGTTAAAGCTGAATTGCGGGTTGTGTGACTTACTTTTGATACAGTCAGCATGGTAGTCAATGTACAGGTCCTTCTCTCCATTGTCTAAACCAGTGGCCCCCAACCTTTTTTGTGCCACGGCCCGGTACCGGCATCACAAAATGATCCATGGCCCAGTAATGGCATCAGCACACATGACAAGGCAACGCGAGCCGAGCGACCAGCCAGCCAGCCGTCCCCGGCTTCTCCCCTCTACCTTCAACTCCTCCTTTGTACCTTTTTTGTATTTTTTTGTGCTTTCTTAATCTCCTCCGCCATCGGGACGGCGCTTCGTTCAAAGCCGCTCCCCCCCTTCGATGAAACTAAGGCGTGAGGATTCCTTCAGGACCCAAACGCCGCTTTCCAACTGGAAAAGCTCACCTGGAAGCACTTTCTCGTCGAAACAGGCATGATATTCCCCTCTGAAAAAAAAATCTGAAAAGTAGCCAGAGGTGCAGGGGTTGCCTAAGCACCTGCTAAGCATCCAATCAGCTCCCCGCCCTGACCTCAACTAACACCCCCCCTTTCTCTCTTTCCTCTCCCCCCCACCTCCCCTCCAGGTCTTCCCCAGCAACCCCTCCCTGCACGGAAGCCTCGGCTGGTGCTTTCGGGCTCTTCCTCGCCCTCCTGAATGAGATCCTCCGAGCTGCGGGCTAAAGGCGGCAGGGCTCCTCCAGGCTGATCACGGAGGCACCTGGTAGCTGGGGGGGAGGGGATGGAGAAGTGACCCAGGGCATGACGTGGGTCCACTTTCCTCCCCACGAAGAACTTTTTTGCATCCGGCACGGGTAGTTCAGCGAGAGGCGGCGGCTCTATAACCCCAAAGGCAGCTCTCGCCCGGCATCAGCGCGCATGCCCACACACAGAACACCCACTCAAACACCCACTCACTATCCCCACAGTGCGAGAATAACAGGAATAATAGTCTTCTTCCCCCCCCACTCCGCCCGCCACTAGCCTTGCGGTTGCGACTTGTTTCCCCGCTCCTCGGATCAGTTGTTCCTGCAACTGACTCCCGCTTCACACTTTTGAAAGAGCGAGAGCGGCCTGAGGAGTCATTGAAGCACGCCCTGTTGTGGGGGTGGGGGGAGAGAGAGAAAGGCGTATTATTACATGAGCCTTTTAAACTCGTGAGAATGGGCTTCCCGGGCAAAAACCGCTTATTTACATCTGGGCAGCCAGGAATCATTTGCAACACCGCTTAGCCTTCACCAGTCCTCTTTGCAAAGCGCCACCGCGGCTCTTCCTTTTTGCTTTTCCCTTCCTGAGGCAACGCGGGACTGGAGCCGCGTGGAGCTGCACCAGGCAGTAGCAACTCCTGACTCAGGGGGCCTCCGAGGGGAGGGGAAGGAGGAGAAGAAAAGTGGGGCTGATTTCTCTCCAAAAATCGGAATTCTGATTTTAGTCGGAAGAATATCATGTCTGTCGAAACAAGATGGCAGCACCCAGCAAACTGGCGGCCCGGTAGAAAATGATCCATGGACCGGTACCGGTACCGGTCCGGGGCCCGGTGGTTGGGGACCCCTGGTCTAGACGGTTTTTGAGTTCTGTGTGGAGTAAACAGGAATGGGCACGTTGCTGTATGGTTAGGTCAGGGCGAGAATGGAGGTTCTTATGGTTGGTGTTGCTTTTGGCAAGTGAATGTATAGTATAAATGAATTTATGTTTGCTTGATTCATTTTTGCAAATGACCCTGCAGAAGCGAGGGGCCACAGAGCCGTCTCTAGTTTTGAGCTCTCAGCCAATGCGGGAAATGTCAAGTATTTCATCAGGGGAGATAGTTGATGCTTGATAATCACTGATGATGTTTCGGACAGCTGATGTCATCATTGTCATTGATGTCCTCTAGACCAAATAAGATGGCGTTTGGACGTTTCCGTTCGCGCTCAACAGCTTCTCTGATGAGGATTGGGATATCATTATTTGTCTGATTTATGTTTTTTTGTGGATTGGGTTGTGGTTGTTGGGTAGAGATGTGGTTTGTAGCTATTGGATGTTCAGGTTTTTGCACTGTGTCTTTTTTTTTTCAAGGTTGGATAATCTTTCTTTTAAAGTGTCCAGGGATGCTACTATGGTGTCAAGGGATGTTATTCGTGTTTCTACGGTATCAACTCTTTCAAACAGATCCAATTTGGGTCTGCATGATTTGCAGAGATATGGAAATTCATTGGATGATTCTAGGTATTGAATCATTTGCTCGGGTAATCCCAAGCAGTCATGATGAGCGTATTTGTTACATAGAGAACATTTGATGGAATTTTCATTACAATCAAACTTGGGCTGGAGGGTTAATGAATTTGAGCATCAGGGAACACACTACTCTGAAAATGATTTCCAAAGTGGATTCAAGATAGAGCAAGGGTCTCCAACCTTGGCAACTTTAAGACTTTAACTTTAAGACAGAATTCTGGGAGTTGAAGTCCACAAGTCTTAAAGTTGCCAAGGTTGGAAACCCTTGAGATAGAGGATGCTTCACACAGCAGTCTGCTGATGAAGTGGGGTATAATTATAATTGCTTCCCCTAGCAATACAGGTAGTCCTTGACTTACGACCACACAATTTTTAGCCCAAAATTTATGTTGTTAAATGAGTTTTCCCCCATTTTACAACCTTTCTTGCCACAGTTATTAAGTGAATCACGGTTACTAACCATGAATCTGGCTTCCTCATTGACTTTGCTTGCCAGAAATTACAGAAAAGGTGCTGTGACCGTCATTAACTATGAATCAGTTGCCAAGTATCTGAATTTTGATCAGGTGACCAGGGAGATACAACCATAAGTGTGAAAAGTAAGTCACTTTTTTTCAGGACTGTTATAACTTTGAACGGTCACTAAATGAACTGTTGTAAGTCAAGAACTACCTGTACTTATTCTTTTTTATATGTGTATATTGTTCCAGTTCCCAGGCATTGGTGGTCCAAAGCAAAAACAGAAAAAGAAACAGTGTAACACAAAGAACATACAATAGTCATTAAGGTAAGAAATCATATTATATTATTATTATTATCATATTATATAAGGTAAAAATCATATTATATGCTAAGGCCCAAAGACGTTTTCCAGGTCTTTTTAAACAAAAGAGTCAAGCCCAGAATATTACAAGAAAATATTGTCATCAGAGGTGGTATTCAGGAGGTTCTGACCAGTTCTGCAGAACCGGCAGCGGAAATTTTGTGTACTTCAGAGAACTGGTGGTAACCTTCCCCTGGAGTGGGAAGGGAATGGGGATTTTACAGTATCCTTCCCCTGCTACGCCCACCAAGCCATGCCACGCCCACCAAGCCACACCCACAGAACTGGTAGTAAACATTTTTGAATCCCGCCACTGACTGTCATGTCCCATTCCTAGGGGCCAGGAACCCCAATAGAGCCTTTCTGATGATCAGACTGGATGAAGATAATATTGTGTAAGGTAATCCCTATATATCCCAACACCACACTGAAAGTTATTAAACACAAGTGGATCAAAAGCTACTCTCTTCGGGGAAGGATGAACATCTCTCAAAAGAATACTAACCATCTGAATCTAGCCATCCATGCCCCATTGCTGGCACCCAGCAAGACAATGATGAAGCCTACCTGTGGCAGAGCTCATACTAAAGACCTGACTATATACAATGGGCCCTGAACCTGAGGGTCTTTAGAAAGGCAGTTAAGACATTTCAAAGGTCTTTGAAGGGGAAAAACCCTACTGGTTATTTTAATCAATTGTGTTAGTTCAGCATTTTGCACATTTGGGTTACTTTAACGAGTTATAGCTTTGTTCCCCCCCCCCCCCCCGTTGTTTACTTTCTTGTATGACACCCAGGGTCATCTTATTTGAATTGCGGGGGCCATATGAATGCTTTGGGATAAAAATGTACTAAACCCTTTTCTGCTTCCTCAGATTCCACAAGCTCAAAAGCCTCCAGATCATAATGCAAGATGTTTGCCTGCTTACCTCACTTGGACATGCCAAAGCAAAAGAAATACAAGCTATTTTACCTAGAAGAAACCATGGGTATTTTGCCTCACCTGTCTAAGTCACTCAGAAAAGGGCCTCCAGTAGGAGAGGATAGACATGGGAGAGTCTTAAAGCTTTGCTGTTCTTATTGCCAAAGTAGGCTCAGAGCTGACTCGTATCAGTGGTCCACTTCTGGTTTTATATGATGGCTGTCTAGGTATCTTTTCAGTTGCTTCATCTTCTTGCAAAGTGAAGCTGCATGTGATGGGCAGATGGAGAAAGGCCACCAGGTAACCTTGTCCAACGCTATAGTTGCCTCCCTATTTTTCTTCTTGTGCCATATCTGTCATTGGATGTTGGCGATCCTATTTTTATCAATAGTCACACGAAAAAGGGCTGTTGAGTTTTGTCCAAACCAGTCTCTTAGATATTGAAGGCATGACGATCTTCTTCTGCCTAGATCTTGTTTGCTTTTAATCTTTCCTTGGAGGATTAAGTGAAGTATTCTATATTTTTCTAGGTGTCGCATCACATGTCCAAGTGCCTCCATATACTAGAGAGTAACTAAGAATGGACAGAATCTACCTACAAATTATCAGGAAAATCCCCAAAGCCTCTGCCATATGGGGCAGGCTATTCTAATAGGTTGTTCATCTTTGTTGAAATTCAGAGCAGCTCTTTCTCTATTCTTCTATTATCTCCAATGTCTCCATATCGGCACTTATCATTGTCTATTCTACTTCTTTCTGCAAAGGAATCACAGCCTGTCACAACCAGTTCCTTGTCATTTTGATTCCTTGAGGTTGAATCCCATTTTTTTTTTTTTTGTAAAAAAGCTGGAACACACTTCCTCACTAGTCCAACACATGAAAGCAACAGGTCATAGCACTGACTTCAATGGCACCAAAACCCTAGCCACTATAGAAAACCCCAGCTACAGAATTATCAGAGAAGCCATAGAGATTGTAAACAGACCTGAAAGCATGAATAGAAGAGATGATTCCACCAGACTGTCAATTATTTGGAAGCCTGCACTCACTCACAAACAAAAACTCCACACCATAAGCCAGGCAAACACCTGGGCACAAACAGATCCCCCCTGATACCTCCACACCCCAACCAGGCACCCAGACGAAACCTAGCTTCCTAATAAATGATAGCCGTCCATTTACTCGGAGCCAAGCTGCACTAAAAGCCTCCAATACAGGAAACACAATGTTGCCAGCCAATCAAGACAAAAAAAGCCACAAAACAGACAGAAGATATTAGAAACACCAATCAAGCAGAACACAGCAAACTCCAAGACCAATAAACACAGACCAAGACTCCCAACTAATCAGGATGAAGAAAATACCATTCTGGCACAGCAGTAGGCTAGCCCCAAATTTAAAACAGAAATGGCTGTGAAAGTCCGATTCACAGACGAACACAATACAGAAGCCTGAGGATGGCAGATGAGATTCTGCCGAAACGTTGCTACAACTTTAAAAGCATAACTATAATGACGTGGGAAAATATCCGAACAAAGCTGAATACCATACATGTAAGTACCCACGGAAACTTAAGAATATATAGATAGATAGATAGATAGATAGATAGATAGATAGAGAGAGAGAGAGAGAGAGAGAGAGAGAGAGAGAGATGGCAGATGATGTTTCTACTGGAAACCTGATAACAAAAATGCCTAAGTTGATAAGAAAAGATAGTGACATAAATATTACTATCTGAATAGATAATTGAAGAATTACTGTAAGGATCCTATGGACCCAACTGTTAACTACACACTTCAGGAGAATCATTATTAAAGATAATGTCCTGGAGAAAAAGTTGGGGGTCCTGAATTCTGCTTCCTGGAAGTCTCACTTTCCACCTAGTAGTAGGGAATTTGTCTAGGGCCTTTCCTGTTTGCCCAATCTTCCACTGAATCCAGGATTTGTTTTTCAATATTTAATTGCATAACCTGATGACAAACAACTCTATATCTGAAATCAAGGTATTGCCACAGAGTTTGGAGAAGCTATTGAACAGGTAAAATAGGCTTACATCCTACAAATGGAATTCCTGGAGTACGAGACTCCCAAATTATTCTATTTCCGTTTTTATGTAAAAGGCAAATGAGAGTTGCTGTTGCCATTCTAACTAGGATATAACTGCTTATTAAAATAAGTTGGATAAGCTTAGGCAGGTTCCAGAGGCTACCTGAACAACAGACAAATAGCTGTTTCTTTTCTTGCCTCTGAGAATAGAACTATGGAGCAATGAATCATAGACCAGCCACTTCTTCCAGTTACAGACTAAACTGATAATGCAAGTTATCAAATGTCTTAAATGAAAAACAAACTTGTTTCTTGGGCATTAGCTTTGTGCTAATTACACATAGTGATGAGCATTATGCTAATTATGCATAAGAATCGGACCCCGTTCATGGCCCTCCAGATATTGCTGAACTAGATTTCTAAGCACCTGTTAGTTTGGGACACACTGCCTGGGACTGGTAGGAATTGTATTCAGTAATATCAGGCAGCCATAGATTCTCCATCCCTGATAGGTACTCTTACTTACCAATTCTTAATCTTTTAGGGAATGTTAGTAAGCCTATACTTGGTCAAAACATGGTACCCACACACAAAGGAATGCCCTGATATGCTGAAAGCTTTCCATGTTTTTGCTAAACTGTTTATCAGAAAGATGTTGCTCCGTACCTCCTCTCTCTGAGCCTCTGGGCTAATTTAATCTCCATTAGCAAACTGATAATGCCTCTTGTGAGGATCTGGATTTTGTTTGGACAGGTGGCTGTTGGCAATGGTCATTGTATAACAGTAACCAATTTGCAATTCAATCCACATTTATTGTGCTGTTACTCCACCAGCCTCTGGCAGCATTGCAAAGGTATTGTCAACAATCCAATTGGGTGAATTGTTGCGTGATATTTCACCATGTGCACACCTCTCTGGGTTCACTCAGTCTAAATTTTCAGAACATTTAACTAAAGAAAAAGCAAATGAAATGAAAAGTCCTGCATTAGGTGGCCACTCTTGCTATAAGTAAATGTTGGTTTTGAAAAAGCTGCAACATAAGAGACTAGAAAAATAATGCATGTGTTCCCACCCCTAATTTATCCCACTACCAATTGCTGTTACCAACTAATTTATCCCTGTTCCCATGGATTCCAAGACAGTGTTTCCTCTCACATAAAGCCACATTATTCCTTAAACACGCGGATGATTAGGGAATGATAACATATCACCAACATGTTATGTACCCAAAGGTTTGATGTAATGCCAACTGTATGGCCTTAAAATGCCAAGTAAATTAGCTTTTAAGTTTCTACTGTTGTCTTTTGCCCCATTAAAATCTATTTGATTTGTGAAGTGTCCTAAACATTATTTCACACCAAGATGTTTACTGGTTTAAGCAGCATTGTCATATAATTTATAACTTATTATAACATATGCTACAGAAAGGAAAGCTTCATCTGCCAATAGATGATCTAAAGCAGCAGTTGTCAACTGGTGGGCCTTGAGAAAATTTTGGTGGGCCACAGAGAAATCTCACCCCCAGAGAACCCCCCCCCCAAAGTAATTAATCCAGGCTGCACAGAAACACAAGGCTGTGCCGCCCACATGGCCCGTGGGAACCCTCCCTGCCCACTCACTCCTTACCCGGCAAACTTGCCTGCTAAATTGCTATTTTTGCTTTTTCCAACCATCATCTGTTCTGCTGTGCCGGGAGATTTAGATTAGCTAGGAAGCAGGAAATGGTTGGATTTCTTGCTTTCTAGCTAGTCTTCAGATCTTCGGCTCTGCTTTTAAGCACAGCCGAACCTCCCTTAGGACTGAAGGTTCTATTATTCAGTGCTGACTCCTGGCAAGCAAATTTTATGTGACAGACTGAGCTAGCCAATGGCAGATAGATCACTGAATGATTGTGTCAGCAACTCGATCTGCCTGCCTGCTTTGCCTGGTTTTGGATAAAAGTTGCTTTTTTAAATAAAAAATTCAATATTTACATACTTGGTGTGTTGTGAGTTTTGTGAGTTTGCTTGCAAGCAAATTTTATGTGATAGGCTGAGCTAGCTGATGGCAGATAGATTTCTGAATGAATCTGTGATTCTGTGAGCAACTTAATCTGCCTGCCTGCTTTGCCTGATTTTGGGTAAAAGTTGCTCTTTTTTATAAAAAATTCAATATTTATATAAATATTTATAATATTTACATACAAGCCATGCCCAGCTAGTGACATGACCAAGCCACACCCACAAATTAAGCCACACCCTTAGAACTGGTTAGTGGTCCCTGGGATTTAAAATTATGAGTTTGGTGGTCCCTGAGGTCCAAAAGGTTGGTGACCCCTGATCTAAAGGAGACCAGATTCATCCCCAAGAGCCTGCACCTGTGTTCAACAAGTGAAGAGACACACTGCAGAAAACATCCTGCAGAAAGCACAGATATACAACACAGTCCTTTCAGCAATTCCAAGAAGCCTCCACACCTATTTGCACTACTGAGGTGACCCTGAGGACAAAGTGGCCTCTCTAAAAGTGGCCTCTCTAAAAGAATGCAAATGACCAGCTGTCTGCAAGGAATATAAATCCTTCTATTCCCCACCAGCCAGTCAGAGTTGAAGAAGCTTCTTGAATGAGAAGGGAAACATCTTCAAAGAAAAACCAGAAAGTCCAGTTGCCTCTTGAAAAAGCACCTTTGGGGCAACCATGACCTGGATGACTGAAGAATCTCCATAGACATTTAGATCTAAAGAATACCATCATATTAGAATTTGTAAACATTGGAGAAAATATTCTGATCCTTGAGAATGTTCAAAGGTCAAACGAGTAAGGAAGTGTTTAGAAGAGAATGCCAACCAACTTGACTATTTGATTTATGTAACAAAGTGTCTGCGCGACCTGACTTTTAGTACACCTTGTATTGCATACTAATTTACTAATGTTTGTATGCTGTGGCTGGCAAGCAGGCTGGAGGCCTCAGAATGGTTTGACATTACATTAAAACATCTCGCAAATATTGTTTTTCCCTCCTGCAAGTGATTCATCTTTTATACACATCACTGCCACGGCAATAAAGATTACTAATCTTGTTTGCATACCACAATATTCTTCAAATTTTCTGTTTATACACGTTGTGATAAGTTCTTACGAAAACCAGTACATTATTTTATCTATTTATAATACTTTATCCCTACTTTCCACTGAGGAAGGCAGAGTACATTAACCCCATCCTTTCCTCTTCTGCTCACCCCCAGCACTGGAACTGTGTGTTATAATCTTGAAAGCTAATAACTGTGCCAGAATTAATCATTGAGCTTCAGGACTGATTTCAATTTTGAACTTCAGTCTCCCGCATCCTAGACTAGCA